TTGAGGGTCTTTGTTCTTCTGTTGGTGGAGGCCAAACCTTTACATGTGCTGAGCCCCAGGTATGGCTTGGGAGTTTTTATTTAACAAGTTAAGCTTGAGATCGCGCTTCACTCTGCTCTGACTGAGTGCTCTGAGCAAGATGGGAATTTCTACATTTCCTTCTGGAAAGCCAAATGCAGATAAGCATGCTAGTGGTTACTCATTTATCTTTCTTTTTCTTCTTCCAAAAGCATCTCGGCAGTTTTTTTTTTAAGCTGATTTATGACATCAGTACCAAGCTGGAGATTACAAAGTGCTACATTTGAGACTATAATCTCAAGTTCAGAGAGTGAACAGTCATTTATAACTATTCATGCTTAACATATCACAACAGGATTCTTATTTCTACATAGATTTTTAAAGGAACAAATGTGGGAGGAGAAGAGATGTTTTAAATGGGCTGATGGTGTATTAGGTCTTAACAGGCTTTACTTACCCACCGATACATTTAGTAGGTCACATTCTCTTGATGCTACCTGATTTGATAGATGGTGAAGGATAATTCCAAATGTATTCCCATCCACGCTGGCAAGAACTTTGCTGCCAATATTAATTCACCTGAAGCACAGCTCTTAAGATGTCAGTTAGACCTGAATTCAGCTAATGTGCCCCCTTGGCCATCTCCCTGACCACCCAAAGGTCAGTACTTGGTCAACTGCAGAGTGGTCAGCAGTCACCAGTTGTGTTGTGGGTTGTAACTGTGGCCAAATGGTAAATGCAGTACTGAGGGCTGGAGTAGTGCCATCCAGTACAGCACAGCATTCAGACATATTCAACCTTTTGTCCATGGGTTGCATATCTCTGATATGGCTGGGCCACATGTAAAACACATAGTTAATCTATGTAAGTAGCAATACCCCCTTTTTTAAAAAAATATTTGTTATAATTTATGTCTGTAAGTTGGATAGTTGTGGAGTCTAAAAGTTGTCTCAGGACTGTGCAGACCAATACCTTAGTATCGCAGATAAGGAGCAGGAGGCTTGGACAGATGACACCCATTGACCAAATTCCTATAGCTGGTTAGGGGCAGAAATAAGACCAGGCTGGGTCTCTAAACTACAAACCAGTCTATTTTCTTTCCTCTGTGGAGTCTGTCCTATGAGTATATATCATACCATAAAGAAAAATTGATATTGCTCATGAGTGGTAATGCTTTCAATTAAAATATTAGGAATAGATTTCAATAATCAGGTGATCTAAAGCAGTGATCTTCAAACGGTAGTATGCATTAAGATGGCCTGGATAATTTGTTAACGTAGATGGCTGACCTAACTCTGTGTTGGTCAGAGATGGAGCCTGCCAATTTGTATTTCAAGTTCCCAAGTGATGCTGATGCAACTGGTGTTGCTCTGGGGACTGCAGTTTGGGAGCGCTGGTCTGCAGCAAGCCCATGCTGTCCTCTGGTCTTGGTCACTGGCTACCTGCACATTGTCAGCTGAGTTCCATAGTAAGTATCCAGCACGTGAACTCTCTGAAAGCTCTTGTGCATTTCCTACTGGAGCTCTTTCCTAGCACAGGGCAAAGAGGTCTGGCTTGGGTCAGGTGCCCTAAAATACCCTTCTCTGCACTCTGATGTGCCGCATGACGTTCAGGAAGGCTTTAAGTTTTTTTATCTTTGGAATGGGAATCATAACTCTAATTGTGGAAGGATGAAATCAGATAAAGCATCTGATCAGTTCAATGGGTAAAAATCACTTGGTGTATCAGTCAGAGGCCAGTCAGGAAAAGAGATTAGCCCTATGCATCACATAAGGATGTTTCAGCTAACTGTGGGCCACAGATACAACAGTGGTCCTATACCATTGAGGGAGCTGAAAAACAGACCCCTTTCTGGTGACACTGAGCCCTACACATCATTCATGTGACTCCGGTTACACTGGGGTGAACACACCAACCGCATTGCCAGTGGTATAAAAACATAGCACACCCCATAATGTATGCTAGATCATACTTGAAATTGATCATAAATGACTTATTGGTTTATGTAGTCACTATATTATTTACTTAAATATATATTGTAACTTTATTATAGTGTGTGTATATATATATCTTTAGTTACTACACCACATATATTAACCAATATAACTATATTTACCATAGTTATCTTCTTAGAATACATTTCTACATACTAAAAATGTTGACTATAAAATTCTATGCCATGTCACAGCAGCAGCAGCTCCATACACCTCGTGTATACTGGGTCTCTTTTATGCTTGATTTAACCTCATGTTGTTTTGTTCCTCGTGTTTCCCTGGCAGTGGGCTATGCCACACACATACGGCATGTAGCCTAGGTCTGCAGTGGTCTGTGCTATCTAGGTTTGTGTAGATACACCCTGCCACATTCACACAGAATCACCTAAGGACATGTCTCAATGTATCCCCATCATAAAGGGGGTGCATGACTCTTACAGAGAATTAATAACAGGTCACAGAAGGGTTCAGAAGCCAAAAAGGGGTGTAGAGGAAAACTAGAGACTCAGCAACAGCATACAGGTGCAGCCGCCCTCTGAGGCAAGGACAGGCAGAGGCAGTGTGGCTTGCGCCTTGGCGGGGAGCTAGTGTGGGTGGTGCTCATCTGAAAGAGGGGCTTTGCCTGGCACAGCCATGGAGGAACCTAGAAACACAAGGATAAAGATCTGGGGAGTATTGTTCTATGATTCTACACAGAGCAGGAAAATGCAGGAAGTGAATTTCAGCATTACAGTGGTGTGCAAAGAATTCCAGTCATTGTTGCCATAGTTATCATCTCTAGACCATCAGCAGACCAGGTCTACTTCCCACCTAGAACCCTCCCTGTGCCCAAGTGTAAAGAGGGAGTGAGATTAACCTACAAACTGGCATGCTACACATTTGTCAGCCATAAAAACCAATGGGAGGGTTATTTCACAGTAGGAGTTTTTTCTTAATTAGACAGTAGTGTGTAACTTGCACTTGGGGTATAGCTTAGCTCCATGTACAGACCCATGTCACACCACTGGATACCGTTCTTGTACTGTGTGTTCAAAATATTAAAACTGTACAAGAGAGACAAACCAGAAACCATCAACAACCAACCATGGTTGCTCTAGGATGGTTGTAAACTTTGGGGGCTGAATGGTGGAGAAGGAAGGATGAAGGGACAACATAGTCTTGCTTTTTTATAGCAAGGATAGGCCTTCGAGGGGTATCTTCTGGAGGTGTTTCTTTTGTAGTGCAATGATACAATTAGCACTGAGCACATTGGTGGCACCCACTGTTTATCATCATCCTGTTACAAAAATGAGATGTAATGGAATGGAAGGGGGGTAGGTAGGCATCAACAGAAACAGAAACATTTATAACTAAGAGTGAGTGATCTGTTAAGAGCTCTTAGACGATCGCTGAAATTTCAAACCCAAACTTAAGTTTCAAAACAACCTTTATTCTGTATGAAGACCTAATACAATGCATTAAAGCAACTTAAAACAAGACATAGCTCCATTGATCTATAACTTGAACAGAACATCAAGGAGGCACACTCCCCCCACCCCCCAACCCAGTTACCTTGTAAAGGCAAAATTACACCTGACCATGACATCCTCCCTCTCGTCAAAAGACCAACTTTATTTTAACAACGTCATATAAACAGATTTGTAAAAACATTGAACAGATCATAGCTTTAAAAAATACACATGTATAAATGAGTTTTTTTTTCTTTTTGTTTTGCTTTTTTTTTTTTTTTTTTTTTTTTTTTTTTTTTTTAATAAAAGTCTCTTTGGGCTTTATGTCTC